CCGTAGCCCCCATTGGTTCTCAACTGGTTGCTTGTTACCCACATTGCTTAAAGCCAACACAGGCTCTTTTTCTCGATTGCCAGTTTGGGTTTAATTCTGCAGAATGGAGACGCTCATTGTCAGATTTGGATGCCAATCCGTGACGTGCAATCGTGACAGCCAGCGATGACTGAGCTGCTTTCCTGAACATGAGTGATAGTTTGCTGCATGTTTTGTAATATTTCCTGCACTCCTTTCTGAGAAGACAACTTCACGGGAAAGAAAGTCCCACAGTCAATAATGTAGAGCTAAAGTTGGATTGTAAAGGTGGAATATTGATTTTATTATGTCTGGGCTCCCAGAGCAATTATTCTATGAAGGAAATTTGAATCTTAAACATTTTTAAGCGTTCGTTAAATTTCACAACTTTGTGTAAAAGTCTCTTGAGACAGAAACTAAGTTAATTTGAACATCAGTAAATACAAGGAAGTGAACCAGTAGTAAAAACCCATTTCATGAATAGAAACAAGGTTACGACCAAGAATACAACTGAAAGCATTTGCTTGTGTGTGTGTACAGTACTAGCGTCCTTGTGTTTAATGTGACACACATTCATGTTACACACGTGTCTCAGGAGACGTTTTCCGTTTAGTTCGCTGCACCTTCACACACAGACAGTACTTATGCACTTGTTTTCCCAGGGTGCATCAGGCCGTTGATGAATTACACAGTCTTGCCTGCTACTACATATTTACAAATGTGTGTATCCTTAAGCTGTACAATCAAGACAGAATACGCGTGCTGCTGTTAAATTGAGCGGAGTGAATACATTTACATGCATGAATGTAAGATCTGGCAGCGAGAGACAGAGCATTTTTATCAAAGGGCCTTTGCTGTTGGCGCTGCCTCTTTATCTCCTTTTCCCCTCCAACTGTTGTGCGCCTGCTATCTCCCACAGCGATGACACACGATGATACCAGGCTCTCCTTTGGATGCTCGCCTGTACCGCTGCTGGCTGCAGTCAGTGGGATGCAGTGACTCCAGCTTTCGTTGCAGTTTTAACACGTTTTGCCATCCTGTTAGTGAGGACCCCATAATGTTTTCCTTACAGGAGTGAGATGGACGTAAGAACACAAAGCAGCTAACAGTATTCCCACAATATGGCCATAATATGTGAACCAGGTAGATTTTACATTTTGGAGGTTTCCACTGCTGGTAGGATGATTCAAGATACAGTATCTGAAGAAACCATGTACTATTGTAATGTGGCTGGGAAAGCTTAGTAACTGAAAATAAATCAACAAAACACATGTGTGTGTCTATTTCTGCAGACTTAATGAAAATACCCAATGTCTGAATTTATTAGGAGAACATAGAATAGAAGACTCTGGGCCGTCCTCCTGTGAGGCTGCATTCCCGGCTGACTTGTTTCCTAATGTGTTTCAACTTGTCTTCTGGTTGACTGAATATCATCGATACCCTTGTTTTTTGGGCTAATCCTCTGTTACATTTATTAGACAAATCTGAAGGTAAAAGTCCAAACCGTGTGATAATGGTGATTCAATTACAAAAGACCAGCCACCTGCAGATTTCAGTTTCATTTGTAATGATCCCTTTTTGTTTACAAAAACCCTCGATGCATCGGGGTGGATTCATTTTTTTTACCGACCCTCTTCAGTTAATAAGCACATTCTTATCTGGAGGCTCAGCCAGTGCGTGTTGGACACTGATAATCTCTAAAATAAGGAGTGAGTTTTCTGAGTAGAGTTTTTCCATCAGTTCATTTTTTTTAACTTGTCAACCCTTTTACCAAAGCTCTGCTTCTCCAGATTCTAGACTGTTTCTTCCAGAGTTTGCAAGACTAATCCACTGAAAAATATTCAATAGTGTAATTTTAAAATTATTCTGCAAAAAAGCCGTACACACTCACGCACTAATGAACTTAACACAATCTACAGGGAGACATTTGTATTTCAATTAAATGCACCATTTTTTAGTACAGAAAACATTGTGAAGGGTCTACGTGTCATAATGAAGGAGACAAAATGCCGTTCATGTGCTCAATATTGTTTCCATGGGTCACAAATGCAATTTTAAACAAGCTCGACTCTTTCGCAATCCACTTTAATTTACCCACATTATGTTCAAGTTTGCAGTAATTAGATGGGACACAAGTTTGGTGCCAGTAGTGAAAGCAATGTTCAAAACAGATTACTGTCATAATTATCTCCATTTATTATCAAAAGAGACGCTCTAAAAAGTGAATCAGACATCATCAATGTCCAAGAAAAATGCCCCTTCCGACAATACATACCCAGTCAGCCAGGGAAGTACGCCATAAGAATCTGGGCAGCCTGCAAAAACCACTATGCCTGCAATCTACAGATTTACACAGGCAAAAGCTACGAGCTTCCTCAAGTTTGCTTTTACAGACACCACCACTGTCTTATATTGTCCAAAAAAACGGAACGTGATACTTATGTCAATTCTTCACCAAGATGCAGCTGTGTCATCTCAATGGTTGTGTTTTACAACATCCTTGATGGGTCTGCATGTAATGCATTTGTGTTGTGGACCCACATCCACTAAGGATGGAACTCAACCAAAAAGGCAAGTGGAGAACCAAATACATATGGGTCGAAATCGACCCGTAACACCATAGATGTTACAATAGTTAAAATAAACAAATTTATTTGAGAGATGTGTTCTAATACCCCTCAAAAATAGTCAAGTAACACAACAACCTTTAATTTATGTATATGATTCTCTTGAGGTTAATTTAAAAAAAAAATGTAATTGAAATCGAGGGGTCTACAGACAAATAAAAGTCCCAGAGGCCCACACCAAAAATATTAAAACCAATATTTTCATGGATAAGGAAGCCTAACAAGGTAACCAAGAGATGAGAAACAAATTGGATGATAGATTATTGTTTCTAGGGTATTTTACAGCTGATTTAAGACACGGGTCAAAACCGACCCATTAACACAAGGGGTGGTAACAGAAAGCTAAGACAAGAGGAAGGTTAAGGGAGTGCAATATATCCGGGTATGGTTTGGGTGTGTTTACCACATAATTGACAAGTTGCTACCGCGACATCGCCTGTTCATCGGGGTGTCTGTGTTTTATTCTTAAAATTTCAACCTTTTATACAGTCATTTTTAAATTTTGGTTGTACTTAGCTACCACCTCCAACTCGGGTCACTTTTGCTTGAAAAAATGCCAAACTCGATATTTCCCAACGGCAGTCCACAAAGCCAATGGTCATTGTCCCGCTATACTGTTAGTATATATATATAACAGCATATAGTATATAGTCTATAGACCACGTACAATGTTATAGCAACGTGACAACTGTCAACTTTCAAACCCACTTCAAGCAAGCGGGAGACAGAAGCATGGACTGACCTTCATGGATTGATGTCTTATTCTTGAGGCAAAGAAAAGCAACAGCAACTGACTTTTTTTTGTAATAAGGCAATTTCCGCCCCAAGCTCACCAATTTAAAAATAACTTGTTTTTATGACCCTTGCAAATGGAAACCGCTCATTTAATGTCAAGAACACAATTTACAAAGCACTTAACAGAACTCTAAACAGCCTTTCTGATGCCTGAAAAGCCTCGTCTGAGGATGGAAATCAATAACACTGCAGCTCTCTTCACTTTGTTCATCTGCCTTTTGTTTCTTTCCCTTTTTACATTAGATCACTAGATTAATGTCTCAAAAGACCTCATGCACATATAAACAGAAAGAACTGAATTGTGTCTACAGTAGGTAGTTCCAACTGGGATAATTGTGCAAATCAATTGAAAACCTTGTCACAATCCCATCAGCTATCAGAGGGAAGGGACCCAACCTCGATAGGAAGGAGCTTCTTCATCACCCCAGCATTAATTAGAACTTTACTCAGTAATTAGCTATCTGAAAATAATTACCATCGAAATGTCTGATTAAATTCTCTGTCAGCCTCAAAGTCAGGAGACCGGGAGACAGACACCAGTATAAAAGGAAGGTGTCTTTTCCCAGCGTTGGCCACCGCGGTTGTCCCCTCATCTTGTTTTAATTGAGCAGCAGATATGTGGGTAACACCTCTGATTGGATTTGAGAAGCAGTGCAGCATTAGAGCAGTTGATTGAAAGTGACCTTGGTCTAATTACAATTGGTCTAATTATAATTCTCTGATTACATCCCTGCAGGAAGTGTAAGAATAAGATGTTGCTGGTGGCCTCTGCTGTTCGCGTGAAGCTTCTGAATGATTATTGCTGAATTCAACAGAGATTCTCATCAGATAAGAAGAAACAATGAGACACTGTTTCTTTGATTTTGAACACTATCACTATTACTAATACTCAAAATTAGTTTTACATTTTGGGATTGAGAAGAAATTCATAAATGAAACCCCAAAGAGAAGTGTCGGACTTTTGTCCCTCTTGTTGTCTCCTTTCCTCTCCCTATCCTTTCATGTCTCTGTTTTTCTCCCCTCTCCTCTCCTACGGCTGTCTCTGAGGCCTGAGGTCGTGCTGCCCTCCAACTCCTTTCCTCGCAGCCGGTATGACATCACCGCATAGCTGCCTCGTCCTTGGAGTGCCTATTCATCATCCTGATCATCATCATCGCCAGCATCAGTAGCATCGCCTGCGTGTGGGATCACATTTACACAAGCACATACACCCACTGCGAGAAGAATAAAGAGGAGAGAATCCCCTCCCCCCCACCAAAAAAACTGGTTCTGCAGGATGGCCAGACTAAAGGAACACGGAGGAGAGGAGGGACGATCCTGCTGGGGAAGGCAGAAAGCCCTGACCTGTGCACCTCCAACGATACGTCTCAATAAACCATCGTAAAGAAAAGAAGTGCCAGAGATTCTCTCGTGAGGTGTGAAGCATGCCGGCACACATTTGAGCACATCTCTCAACCAATTTGAGCGTTAATAATAAATAAACGTGTAAAGAGACAAATCATGTGATCGGAGAGGACCATCGAGCCTGTGAGGAGCCAGGGAAGCTAAACTCAAACTCACATAGTCATGGAAGGCCTTGGCTTCACTGGAGTGTTCACACGAGTCTCTCCTCTCTGGAGCCGCACAGTAGAGGTCCCAGAAGACACTGCAGCAGACACACACACACACAGGCAGTCAAGAGACAAGCATGATAAAGAAAATGAAAGCCCTGTCAGATAAAATATTAGTCGTTTTAGAGGCAGGTGATTCAGCGTCGAAGCAATGAGTGTGACTCTATTATCATCACCGCAATAGGCAACTTTAGGCGAGCGCACTACAGTTTGCAAATTACAACTTGAAGAAGAGCTTTTAGGGACAATTAATGAGAGAAAGAGTGATTAAATCGGGAGGAGGAGGGGAGCAAATGATTTTTTTTCAAATTAATAATGGAAAGGAATGGAGAAAAACAGCATGGAGGGGAATGCAACTTGAATCATTAGACATAAAAACACTCACCACCACCACGAGTGGAGGAACCCCGGAGGTTCTCCTAATGTGATGTTCTTCTCCCATCGGATCTAGACAAGCAGAGAGATTCTTCAGATATATTGTACATTACGAAACATGGCCAAAGTCTGAATTACCTGCTTTACAGGGTTATAGAGGGTGCAACAAGGGAATTGTCATAACGCATGCTATTATGTAATTATATAATTATTCTCATGCTATGGAATCATGAGTGGATAAGTGGGTCTATCGTACCTAAAAGCCAGTATACAGGCCAGTCCGTGAAAATGTGTGTGTGTGTGTGTCTCTGTGTGTGAGTCAGGGGATGTGCAGACTCTGAGGTCAGAAACATGTACCAGCCTGAGGAGCCCAAATAAACCTTTGTTTAACCCACACGCCCTCCTTCTTTCTGGCATTTTCTCATAACCGCCACTACTTTTATGTTTTCCTTCTTTGCTTTTGTTTCCTCAATTCCGTCTCACTTGCTGTGTATCCACACTCCACAGTGGGGGAAAAGCCTACAAAAGGTAGTTGAATACAATCTTTCCACATTCATGGTATTGAACTAGGTTGTGTATCTTTGACAAAGCTGATAGTGTGGAGAATACATAAAGAGAACCTGAGGGGAGAAGTTCAAATATTGCCTACTTTGCCTGCTGATATATTTCTGGTATTAGTTTTATTCAAACAAGTCAAGTGAAAATGCTGTTTGGCATCGAGGGGTCCTGTATGTATCAGTCAGTGTTGCCGGATTGGGCTGGTTAACAAATCATTCTATGGTCAGAAACACACACTTCAGACACACTAACTCCAGTAAACTCACTCATAACATTGGCTCATTTAATTCAGGAAATATTTGATTGACACGATTTGTCTTCAGCGTTTATTAAGGATAGGGAGGACCTACTAACTCTGATTAAACTAAATGTGTTCATTTGGTACTCTAGCTGCACACAAGCATTCATCTAGCCTTTGTTTTGCTTCAGCGCTGTATGTGAGCTCATCCCTGCAAAAGGATACCAGACCAACTCGGGAATTCAACGTTAGCTTAAGCAGCAGACATATCAGTCTACAAAATGTATTGACTTCTGACTAGAAAAGCTGAGCTAAAAGATGAGCTACTTCTGCCTTTCGGACACCTAGAACAAAAGACACTTGTCTTCTGTCCCTGAGGTTAAATAATGATTGAAATAGCTAAATGAGGTAGTCTATGTGCCTGGTAAATCTGCCACGGTAATGGAATGCAAAACAGAAAGATTGACACACACAATATGTAGCAAGATAACTAAGGGGACGGGGCTCAATCCCAAAAGAGGGTTCCAATGGATAAACACATTATTTTACATCTTAACACTTGTAACTAACATGAGCGCTGACATGACCCACAGAAGGGATGATGCATGTTTACAGACAATGTCAACTGTTGTGCAGATACGAAGAAAGACACACACACACACACACCGGAACAGCAGCTGTGGGCTGCAGACAGGCTTCTCCGATCAGACTATGACTCTATTGTTTAGTCTACCTCTCCTCGCCACAAAGAGACATTACTCTGAATTTAAAGATATCTCAAGATCATCTTTTTAATTTCTTTCTGGGAAATGTTAAATGTGGGTGAAACAAAAAGACCTCTGTACCACCAGCTCTACGAACAAACGCAAAAACATTGGAATCCCTTTCAATCAGAACGTCCTGACCTCATCCGCTGATGGGACACAGGGACTCTCAGAAGGAATGCCTTGCTTTGAAGTTGTTTGTGGGTGGACGGGGGTCAGGAACCTCCTCTGTGATGATCTCACATGTTAAGTTTAGTCTAAGTTAGCAGTTCTGGTTTATTGGAGACATTTTATGCAGCCGTCATCATGACAAATGAGGATCCACTTCCCACATCATTGTTAAAATTACAATACAGGGAGATGCAGAATGGGAATGTCGTCCTTCCGTTCTTACATTTAAATGGCTGTATCTCATCTTAAACACGTTACAGGTCGGAACACTTTTTAATGTGCTTCCACCTGGAAAGCTTAGAAGAAAATGGCATCGACTGCGGCCACATATCCTGTTCTTCTTGTGGTTTGCACTCCTAACACCACGCTACAGGGTCCGCGCCTTTCAGCGTGATCACTGGCACATTTGTGCGTTGCAGGGACTGCTCTCAGTGCACTGGGAACTGACATTTAGGATGAATAAACGGATAAATGCACTTCACATTTATTTGACTTAAAACTTTCTTGCTTTCAATGGTTTTGCTCCTCGTGTATTGTGATACGGTTTAAGAGTACGTGTGTCGTTGCTGTGTCAGCTATCAATTTAGTTGCATTGTTTCTTGTTGCCTGTTCTGTCTAATTTCATATTTAAGTTTAGCTATTCATCCCAATCTTTCCGGGCTCTTGTTTGCCGGAGCCGGGTGTGTTTATACTTGTTGCACTCTCAGCTAATGTGTTCCTACACTTGAATGCAACACCGCCTATCGCTTTCATCTACCACTTCTGCCGAGGAAAGAGCAAGTGATATTTCACAGAGGAAAGGATGTCGGAGAGACAGAGCGGCGTGTGTGCACATGTGCACCGACGCACACCAAGTCAGATTGATGAGAATTGGTGCCAGCTGATGATGTAACCTTTCCCGCCCCCCCGTCTTTGTTCTCCTCTTCCTCTAGCAGCTGCGCAACCAGCCTCCAGCCTTTGTCTCCTACATTGTGATTTACACTCATTCTCAGCCGTTCACCGGGATCAGCTGACCTTATTTTCCTCCCATCAACTCGCCACCTCCGCAGAATTAAAGTGAGGACAAGCTCTCTTCTCCGGAAGGACGGATCGAGTCGAGAGCGGAGTGATCACAAAGAGAAAGTGGAGGAATCAGAGAGGACGCGGGTGAGATCGACTCAGTTGGAGCCGCTGAGCGGCTCAGCGAATGATGTCAGCCCGAAGACGTCCAGCTCCAGGCTCATCGTATTAATTCTCCCTGTACTCCGGCTCCAGTGCCACTAAATGCAACGCTAATGATAAAAAGCCTGTCTGCTGCTAATGACCTGTTGGCTCAGCAGCGTAAGGCCAGACTAATTCAATTTGCCGCTATACTTACTGGATACGTTGTATTAGGGTCAGACCACATATCGGAGTGCACACATAAAGTACGCGGGCTGGGGACACAGGCGGACAAACACAAACACACACAGCATCTTTGGGACTCACCTCGGAGAGGAAGGTCTGTGCTGACTTCTGTGCTCCTACATGCAGCAGGTATTCGTACACGTACAGAGCTAACCTGTGCATGAAGATGAAGACCACAGGGGGAGGAAGCTCAGTTACTATATCAGAGTACAAACAGTCAACAATAGGTGAATTAAAAGCAGGCAAAACATTGAACAAATGAACATAAGGAGTGAGGGTAAACACATGTACAGTAAGAGTAGGTAAGGCATGTGCGGTGGTGTGTGAGGGCGACACAGAAGCTTAAGGAGCCTTAAAAATCACACACGTGCCAAGCAGCAGTCAGGACGACCTCTGGAAAAATTGAGATTGAGATTTAGCCAACGTTGTGAAAAAAAAGAAAAGAAAAAAAAACCTAGCTGCTTGAAGAACAACGGGGGGGCAATAAGAGTGTAGTCGCTCTGCGCTGTAAAACACCTGATCCTCGTGCCTCAGGCTCGCCATAGACTTCCTCCCATGGCTTTGATCTCAGTGAGAATTAATTACAGGCTTGATTTGTTAATCAATTCTCCTTCTAGTGTGTCAGTGACGGTACTAACAGCAATTCAGAGAAGAGGGGAAAGAGATGATCTGCTAGGGTCAATAAATACAACGTAAAGATCAATCCGCGTGAGATCAATAGTAGATCACAGTGGCTCCTAACAGCACCCTGTAGATTTGGACAGAGTCACTTCACATGAATCATAAGCTGTTGGTAATGAATTTAACCAATGGGGAAAAGATCAAGTACATTTGTGCTCAATGCTCAAATTTCCATTTAAATCAATATTAGCCACGTAAGGGGCAGATTTGTTTGATTAGAAATGGCTTTGATATTCCTCAGATGTACTGCAGATGAACATAGCCGCATTAGAAACGTACAGAAGATGTACTCACTTAAAATGGGACATACAGTTTGTTAACCTAGCAAATTATTAATGACATTATGTCTTAAAGAGCTTAAAATTGAGATAGTGTTTCATTAAAGATAAATCTGCCAATTAGTCAACCAATTTATCATCATCTTTAAATGTAAAAGGACTGAATAATGCGGACATATTGGGGACGGAGGGAAATCGCAAGCTTCGTCAGACAAGTTACGGTATCAACTCATCACAAGAAGCTGCACTTAGGACGTGTCTGGCAATCATGCACGAACAATGACTTTCATTTGTTCAAGACAAAATAAAATTCATCTTCAATTTGTCTTCAACTAGTTCCACCGCGTGCACATACGATACATCGCAGCGGACGTTGACGCATGGATGGTGGTGGCGGGAAAGCAGCAGTCTGACCTCCGCTGGAAGGTGCTGCCATGCTGCTGCAGCCGGTCCAGGCTCCTCTTATACGGAGGTAAAAATAAACTCCCCAGACGGCCCTGTCTGCCTGTCTGCAGATGATGGACTGCTGCACACCTTTCGGCTCTGCACACAGGTACCCTGTCTCCTCCCCCCTCTCCTCTCCTTCCCCCTCCACCCTTCTCCTTCATTTCGATCCCTCTGCTTCACCGCATTCATTCCCCGTTGTCCCCTCTCTTGCCGTGCCGTTTCTGTCTCCCGCTGCTTTCCTCTTGCACTCTTTTTTTGGTCGGCCGGCATGTTTGTTTAGGCTCTGCCTCTCAATCCTTTGCTCCCTCTTTCATTACCTTCCTCTCTCTCTGTGCCCCCTGCGGCCCGGCAGTAATGTTAAACCAAAGAGATGGAGACGTTTCGCAGGGACGAGGTTAACGGGACAAGGTTAAGTTTGACAGAACGCGTCACACCTCGACAACAGAACATGAATAAACGATGGGGGTCTTCTTTCAAGGCACTGTACAACTCATGTTCAGGTACAAAGCTTCTCATTTGCTCTGTTCTTTGTTTTACATTCGGCCTGTCTGAATCTGTCACTCTCCCCTGTGAACTACAACAGCATCACCACGGAACCGTTCCCTGATCTTGAAAATCAAATGTATCCGCAATGAATGAGCGATGGCGACGGGCCTGACGGGCTGAACGGATTAATTCCGTGTGTCGGTGGGAATAAAGACTGCGTGCATTCACACAAACACAAAGCCTCGCTCAGCAGCTGTAGGGTTTGACCGACACTTTCACGGGAGCTGCATGACGTGACCTTTGGCCCCGCCGTAGTGAGGAAAGTCTCAAGATGGAAGCGTGAGGGCAGCAGGGGAGAGAAAGGTGACTCGATGAAAGGAATATAAACACTGCAGGTATCAAAGGTGAGCCACCTGATGTTTTGGAGAAACGTTGTAAGGAAGAGGAAAATGAAGGGGCGAGTTGATTGACTGCTCCCGACCTTAAACCACCGTGGTTTAAATGCGCCGATGCATGCAATAATACGGAAATCAGACTCAAACCACCAGTACCGCTCTCTTCAAGCTTAACAGACACCACAATAAGGTGAAAACAAAACTCGTCAAGCTGCTCACTTGTTGTTTAGTTACCAGCTGACATCAGCTGAGCGTGAAACTCCATACGCCCAAAATATATTAGAGTAAAAATAGTAAGCCAAGATTTAAGGATTCGAGCTACTCAAGGTTGAGAAGCATTTAGATTTGTCCGCATTACAAAGGCTCTCGTCCTTAAATAAACGGTCAATTTAAATAATCTTTGCATTAGGAATCAATGTAAAAGTGCTCGAAATCAGGCAGTCAATGCATTTATAATGTTTTTTGACTCCATAGTAGTGAAATTGATGTTTGCCCTTGAGGTCGGACGTACAGCAGAAAATTGAAGACATTTTGTATTTCCTTCCCATCTGCCATGTCAATTTGTGTTGTAAATAAGAACCACTTTACATTAATCACAACTGCAACTGGGATGATTGAAAAGACCAGGTGCCTCCCACTTTGCCTCCTCTCCCCGTGTGTGTGACGTACAGATGCATGTGTGTGTGTGTGTGTGTGTGTGTGTGTGTGTGTGAGGCAGGGTAGTAAATGGGAGAAGTGGAGAACTTAAAAGATTCACACCTGACCTTTTTCCTCCTTCAAATTCAAGTGTTTTTGTCTTCTATGTGTCACATTTAATCAAATATACGGAAGCAACCTCATCCCCACTGCTCCTGTAAGCGCGGGTGCACACGCAGGGAAGCTTCAGCGGTCAGCGGCTCAATGAAGCCGCAGGCGGCAACAGCGACCGGCGTCTTTCTTACTGATCCGTGCGTGGAGGAGACAGTCGGCTCAGCTTTAAGGCAAAGTCATGAACTGATTTTCCCGAGATCAGCGTTTATGTGGGACCACTAGATCACTGCTAATCAATTTAGTATAATGGCATAAAGTCCAGCAGGGATTCAGATGGAAACAGACAATGGCTTCACTGATTGGATTTGCCTGTCGTAGATTAGCTCCAGATCATTTCACCCCTGTAGAACGGAAAGTGATTATACTTCTGATCTGAATCGGGCCTGTTAATTGACATATTGACAAGACCTGCTACTTCTGTGCTGAAATAGATCAATCACACATATTATTTGGGAAATAAAAAAATCCTGTAAATGCCTGTTAACATGCTCTGTCAACCAGTGATGAACACGCCACCTCTTCACGCATGTCAGTTACTATAAACAGCAATAACTTACTCCCACAGTCCTTTAACATTTCCTTTAACATGACCACTAGTAGAATTCTCTAAATCTGCCTTTTTTGCCCCAATTAGATTCAAAGGTTGGGTGTAAATTCAATAGCAATGGGAACATATTATCCCACAGTAATAAATACAATTTGTCTTCTTAGTTAAAAAGTGATCCGGTCAGAAAAAGATGTCTCACCATGTGTATTTATCACAAATACATCACTGTAAAATGTACAAGAATGTACTTAGCGCTGGTAAATGGCGCATGTCAAATGACATGACTCCTGCATGCTTAAACCTGCAATAATTGATTTTTCTGGCCATTTAGAGGCAGCGTAACAAGCTGTAAACAAAACATTGATATTGATACCGTATAAAGTTAGAACTTAGCAAACTGTGGCATATTCACACAACACACACACATAAATTAACACTAGCATTCGCAGTTTCTCGGCACCAGATGAATGAATGAACTTCATTTTGCTCTCCACCAACCCTCCAGCGGTCAGATCTCATCCATTGCTATTACAAAACTCTTCATTACAGCAGCATCAAATCCAGTTTTAGAGCAGTTGCTTCTACAACATGAACAGTGGGGCTTACAGTGTCATATGACCATACAGATAGATGTGATTATGTGTCTTTACTTGAGCACCTGCAATAGTAATGTTACATTGAAATCAAACATTGTGAGGCGCAAGACATTTTTTTCTCATTTTCTGCAAAAATTTGATAAACCTGATAAAATAATTAATGACAAATAATAACAAACACCTAGAGTCGAAAACATACCTCCTCTTCGTGGAGGAGAATTACAGAAGAAAAGAGAAAGAGGTGACGGGAGCGTGGCAGGGGAAGAGATGAAAGGTTCTGGTGGGGAGAAGAGAGTAAAGAAGGAGGATTAGAGAGACAGAGAAAAGGTAGATGAGGAGGATGAAGGCACCAGCGGATGAGCCCCGAGATGAAGGCTCTCGAGGTCTGTAAACTTTTAATATTCTAATGTAGAGGATTCTCACTGAGCAGAGTCCCAGTTAGCCGAGCACCCTGCTGTGACCTCCTTCTGCAAACTTACACAAAACCCCACTACAAAAACCGCCCGGCTAAAGTAGACCTGATTCCTCTGAGAGAAAAGCACATGACGACACACAGCAGAGAAAAGACGGAAGACACCTGAGCATACTATGCTGCAGAGTACGCACTGGATTTCATTATATTATATCTATACATTCATTTACATTTTTTCTGTGTGAAGGTAAACTAACCCAGAATTAGGTTGAAATACTGCAATAGTTCCTGGATATGCTTACGATGGTTCAAACTGAGGTGGGTGTGTTCACAGCAGGGAATAAGTGAGTAAAAAGGACTTATGAAGGATCCACCGAGAGCTTGAGTGTCTTTATAGCACTTTGCTTTCAAGCAAGTGACACTTTAAAGAACAATGAAGCAATAAGAGGAAAGCAAGTGAGTGTTTTAAATTCCCTTTGGATGAAATAGCAGAAACGGTTTG